GGTGAGTAGCATGGTCTCGCCCAGACTGTGACATGATGATTCTATGTATGCAAATGGTTTTAACAGCGAATGAAATTCAACCCCCTCCTTCTAGCGCCAAACTGTTGTTACATGGAAATTAACAACAACCAAACTGGGATGTATTTTAAGTAAACCTGAATATTTAGCGATGAGAAACCTGTGTATTTTATTCAGAAATATAATTTGTAGCATGTAGTGAGGTGGTATTCTTGTCTGTCTGGGAAATTCTCTATTTCCCTTTTATATTTACATACCATAATTATCTGTACAATAATCATTACATTTTGAAAGGTCAAAGGCGGTCCTTGGTGGTTTCTCTTGATAGCTTGCCACTTGGATAAACGTAATGATGAATTATGCTGAGTTGTCGCCGCCTTACCATGCTGAGCTGGCATGTTATAGATATCGGTCCACCCAATTATAACCGGTACGTTGTGGCTGATATGTAGTAACCGACATGTGTCGACCGACATGTGTTAACCGACATGTGATATCGGTCAACTTAGTAAGGATGTCGGTTTCTGCTGAATCTTCATTGTGTAGTTATCTGGAAGTTGGTAGAAGTGTCTCTTGCTCACACGAACTCTAATCACCATCATATTGATCTCAATCAACGGATTAGTGTCGCTTAATCCGACTTACAGAAAATGATATCAACAGCCCTTTTATGGCTAACTTTAACAATTTATTTTTCACTCACCGAAAATCAGTTTTGAGAAAATAAATATACCACGAGTATCTACTCTTTGCGAACGTAAAATTTTTCTACAATATTTAATTCAACTCAAATTAAATATTTAGCCATCAAAAATTCAGTCAAAACTTGGTCAAACCCAAGTTTTACAACTGATTTTTCCAACAATCCCCCACATGAGTGGAAATCAAATGTATGCATGTATGCAGACTCTTGTGCTCAATCCTCACAAGACTCTATTGCATCAGAAAAGGTAGCTTGTGGCTTTGAACCTTTCTTAGTAAACATCATCGAATGTACTGGTGGCTTAGTGGACATAGTGCCTTGAACTATTTCCTCCATAGTGTACACCAAGACAATGACATTCACACAATAGAGTCTTAACTTCATTCCGTTCTATTGTTGTGTCCGTTTTGGCCATGGACTTTGGATTCATAAGTGTTTACAATTGAAGCGGCCCTCACTTCACACTTATATTTAAAAGTCCAGATGACTTACCCTCACCACAATCAACAGGTAATCTTGCACTTGGATTGCTTTTAGGGAATAGATTTGGACACTCTAATGTTCCAAGTGCTCCGCTGAATTTTCATAGTTTAATTTTTCCCTTGAACCAAGTTTATGGGATCTCCATTCAGCAAGGTAGGGTTCTCACTATGATCATTCTTTTCATTGTGGAATTTTAATCCCATTCCCTCTAGCAGTATTCCCAATTGATCTCTATTCAATCCTTTAGTAAAAGGATCAGCCAAATTTTCCTTAGACTTTACGTAGTCAATGGAAATAATACCATTTGTGATCAATTGGCGAATGGTATTATGTCTACGACGAATATGTCTAGACTTACCATTGTACATGTTACTTTGCGCCCTTCCTATAGCAGCTTGGCTATCACAGTGAATCATCACAGGCGACAAAGGTTTATTCTAACATGGAATATCGGATAAAAAGTTTCGAAGCCACTCGACTTCTTCACCAGCTTTATCTAAAGCGATGAACTCCGACTCCATGGTTGACCGAGCTATACATGTTTGTTTTGTGGACTTCCATGAAACAGCTCCTCCTTCGATACAGAAGACATATCCACTTGTGGAGTGAGAATCTCTCGAATCCGATATCCAACTTGCTTCACAATATCCTTCAAGTACTGCTGGATATCTCGAGTATTTTAGCCCGTATCCAAGGGTGTACTTTAAATACTTCAGTACCCTTTTCAAAGCATTCCAGTGCTCATGACTGGGATTGCTCGTAAATCTACTCAACTTATTCACCGGATAGGCCAAGTCTGGTCGTGTACAGTTCGTCAAGTACATTAGACTCCCTATTATCCGTGAATATTCCAATTGAGCAACTGGTTGACCTTTATTGGCTTCAGGATTTATGCTAAGATCAAGGGGTTTCCTAGACAAAGGACCTTAATAAGCATTAAATTTCTTGAGCACTTTCTCTACGTAATGAGATTGTGACAAGACAATTCCATCTTGCGTTCTAATAATTCTTATTCCAAGAATTACATCAGCTAAACCCATATCTTTCATGTCGAAATTTCTTCTCAACATTCGTTTTGTATCCATGATCACGTCATGGCTATTCCCCATGATCAACATATCGTCTACATATAGACATACAATTACATATGTATTTGATGTGTTTTTAACATAAACACATTTGTCACATTCGTTGATTTTGAATCCATTTGACAACATCACGTCATCAAATTTCAAATGCCATTGTTTCGGAGCTTGTTTAAGTCCGTATAAGGATTTGATCAATTTGCACACCTTTTTCTCTTGTCCAAGTGCTACAAAACCTTCGAGTTGTTCCATGTAAATCTCTTCTTCTAATTCACTATTCAAAAATGCCGTTTTGACATCCATTTGATGAATCTCAAGATTGTGCAAAGCAGCAATAGAGAGAAGCACTCTAATTGACGCTATACGCGTCACAGGTGAATAGGTATC